CTTGGGCCGTCTTGGAGCCGTCTTGGGCAATTTGGGCGCCCTCTTGGAGGCTTTTTGGGTCGTCTTGGAGCGATATTGGGGGCCTCTTGAGCCGTCCAGGGCGGTCGGCAGCTCGAAAAGGCAGTACCGCCAAAATCTTCCGAAAACCCAAGCAAAATCAATGATGTGTGCGTCTTCCTCCTGGAGCGTCTTGGGCGCTTATTGGGCCGTATTGGGACCACCCTGGGCCATCTTGGCACGCTCTTGGCCTGAGGCCGTGGGGCTTGCCATCCTTTTGGCGCCTCATTGGGGCGCTCGGGGGGCCCCCGAGGCAGCGCCCAGGAGTTCTGGCATCTTCGACCCGATCTTGCCAAGACCTCCCTGGACCTTGCCGCCGGTGTGCTTTTCGTCTGGGGACCCCCAGGGGCCGCCACGCGCGCGCGCGAACTAGAAACACGCTTACCGAGCATTTCTTTTGGTGGAGGGCCAAGGGTGAAATCTGAAATGCCGTTTCGACTGATCTTCGAGGCCTGAATCTGCAAGAGGTGAGTCACGAGACGGACGGATCTTCGAGGTGCAGACGCCCATATGGATTTCATCCTGAGCCCTCCACCGTGAGGAACTGCTCAGGCTTACGTCGGCAACTGCAGCCTATAGATTACCAGTGGGTGTCTGTTTTTCAATCCCAGGACTTTTTGAGGGTCGGGGACGACGTCGGGGTGGTGTGGTGTATACTTTTGTTTCCCCCTTCCCCGAGGAAGCAGCGACACATGTATACACCAGGATCCCGTATACACCGGGATCCGTTTCCCTGTGCAAGTTGCAATGCAGGACCAGAAGAAGCGCCGGTGTATAGAGTTCGGTCCCCTATTAAGTTATCTGAAGTTCTTACCTGGGATTTTGGCTCGCCTCTGCCCGTTGGGCCCGCGAGCGTGGGCCCTTTTCGGAAGGCCTCGGGGCCCTCGGGGCTCGCATTGGGATTCCGTCGGGTCCCCCAGGGGGGGTCCTCAACTACAGCGCCGCCTCTTGGCAGAAACCTTCTGCTCTCCTGCGGTGCCCCAGTCAGAGGAGGAAACGGTACCCATACCTCTACCCTTCTCTCGTTTTCCCATTTTTGGGCCTCCTGGGCGGCCCTCGTAACCACCGCTGGATTCGTCTCGAAATTCTGGTCAGAACGCACTCAGAGAGAGGTCTGGGGAGTAGCAGCATCAGTACCTTTTGCTATCCCCACCTAGGGATCCTTCGAAGCACTCTTGGGGCCCTGCTGGGATCGTTTTGGCTTGGCTCGTCCCTGGACCACTCGAGGCTTCATGAGGCCCGGCGGAAGCCGAAGAGGCGAGAGACGGCGAACACCATCCGACCATTTCGAGTTGTTCAATGGATTCAGCTGTTCGGTGGCATCTTGGGAGGCTATGTGGCTAATCACCTCGGGCAATAGAGCATGCTTCTTTACTGCTTGGTATAATGGGCATTGTAGCCCCCAGCCCCCTCTCCCACCCCTACAACTTCACGCCCCTCCCCCCCAGTAGTACGTTCCGGGCACTGCCGCCGTGCGCGCGGCGGGGGGGAGGCGTTACATTATACCCCCCCTTCAGGCCCCTCCCCCCCCAAAAATGCCCATTATCGCCGAAAATAAAGAAACGCGCTCTATTTGGCTATCCACCTCGGGCAATCTTGTTACCTATCTGGAGCCGTTGAAGCCGCATCGAGCCATCTTGGACGCTCCAACCCCTCGCACCCTGTCCAGATCCCCCAGGGGGGGTGAGGAGTCGTTTACTCCCGGATGGGAAGAATACGACCCTGTTCTCAGAAAAGCTGACAACCTAAGCCATTTACACCCCGAGGACTCGTTGACGGAATGTTTCCTGCCGGAGCCAGGAAGTGAAATTCCGTGCTCTCCGCTGACTGTCTGATTGCCTGAATTCAATTGACTGAATTGGAGGGGTAGTTTGGGCAACGCATTTCATTTCAAACCGCCCGCGGGCGCAACCGCCACCGCAACCAGGCGACATTTTTCATCCCGCCCGCGAGCGCGCCCGCAACCGCAACCAGGCGACGCCTTTCAGCCCGACCACGGGCGTAACAGCGACCGCAACCAGGCGACACATTTCAAGCCGCCCGCGGGCGCCACCGCAACGGCGACCAGGCGACACATTTCAACCCGCCCGCGGGCGCAACTGTAACCACAACGGCAACCAGGCGACACAAATCAACCCGCCCGCTGGCGCAACCGCAACCGCAACCAGGCGACGGATTTAAACCGGCCTGCGCGCGCACCCGCAGTCGCAGTTGCAACCAGGCGAAGCATTCCAACCCGCCCGCGGGAGCACCCGCAACCGCTACCAGGCGACGCATTCCCAGCCGCCGCGGACGCACCCGCAACCGCAGCCACAACCAGGCGACACAGTTCAACCCGTACGCGGGCGCAACCGCAACCACAAGCAGGCGACGCACTCCACCCCGCCCGTGTGCGGGGTGTGCCGACATGGGTGTCGTGGACACATGCGGGCGGCCCCACTGGGACCTTCGGTGGAGCTGCTGAGATCGAACAGGAGGAGGAGGCGGAGGAGAAGGAGGAGGAGGATGAGGAGGAGGAGGAGGAGGAGGGGAGGAGGAAGGAAGGAACGGATGCAACGCGGGGCGCTGTCTCTTCAAAACGAGGACCCAACACCAAAGGATGGTTGAGAACAAAAGCACGTGGAACACGCTTTGGGTGTTTTACCGGGGTTGGCCTCTTGCGGGTATCATTGGGCGTGTTCGTGGCCACCTAGAGCTGTCTTAGGGCCACATCGGGGTTTTGGGGGAGGCATGATGGACGTCACATTGAGGCAATGTTGGCAATATTGCGCCATGTCGGAGGCAATATTTTGGCATATTGGTCCCTCCTGGAGCCATCCTCGCCCGAAAGCCTCTCTGGGATGTTCCCGAAAGGGCACCAGTTTTAGGTGTTTCACTGGTTCTCTTCATGAGGACAGGTGGAGGTGTCGATTAGAGTCTCCCCTCTGGAACCCGCGCAACTAACTCTCGGAGCCCTCCTCGGGCGCTCTCAGGGCCGTCTTGGAGCATTTTATGGGCCCTTCTTGGAACTCTCCTGGGCGATCTTGAGGCCACCTTGATGCCTCAGAAGCCCATCAGACGTGACAAAGGCGAGATGGCAACTCTCGTGAACCGCCACCAGGTTTGAAATGATGCTGGCCTCTCGGCGGACCCTTGGAGGCTCCATGGCCATTTGGAACGTGGAGCCTTTTTGGGGCGGTCTTGAAACATGTTGGAGGCATGCTGGGATCAGATTGAGCAATCGTGTGTGACCTTACGCCATCTTGGCGGCCACGTTGGAGTATTCGAGGCCATCTGGGGCCATCTCGGACGCTATAAAAGCTTCGCCCCCCCTGTCCAGATCCAGAGGAGAGGGTAAGCGGAGGAGTAAGCTCTTCCCCGAAGGGGAAGAAATCGGGTTGGAAGACGAACCGCTCCACACCCTCCTGCGCGCAGAGGCCTGGTGGGATTGGCACCAGGCTTGCTGGGATCCCTGCCGAGTCGGTGGACATCTGTGATTACTAGTTGGTTGGAGTTCGCTGCATGCCCAGGAGGCCCCAGCCCCAAAACAGCACACGCGAATGCACGCGCGCGCGTGGGCATTCGCCAACGCAGTTCGTCGCCCCCGTTGATGGGCGTGTTTTCAACCACCACCACCATACATTGGAGGTGGGGGTCCTCCTCCTCCGCCTCCTCCTCCTCTTCCTCCTTCTCCTCCTTCCTCCTCCTCCTCCTCCTTCCCCCATCCAACTTATGGTGGTGGTGGTGGTGGTGGAAAACATGCCCATCACCCGTCCCCCCAGGCTGGCGAGTGCGCTGGCCCGCTCTTTTACAGGGACTCCGCAGGGCCTCTCGGTCAGCGGGCGGGCGAGATAGGCGATTGCGGAGACGGTGAAGGGCGGGGTGCGAGTAGGGGAAGGCCAAGACCTAGGGATCTTGGCGCTGCAGTTTGTTTCGCCACGGGCGTTTTCGCCCAGTTTCGGGCCCCAGGGTCCTCACAGATCGCTCTGGCTCGACGAGTGACACAGACAGATGGGGCCTCGGGCTCCTGTTGTATTTTTTGTTTGCGATTTGCATTGTTTTTAGGGGGCACTTTTAGGGGGGGATAGGGGGCACTTTTAGGTGGGATAGGGATAGGGGGGGATAGGGATAGGGGGATAGGGGGGGAATAGGGGGCGATTTGCATCGTTTTGAGGGTCGGGGGCACTTTTAGGGGGGGATAGGGGGGGGGGAGGGGGGGGCGAGCAACCCGCGCGACAGCGGCCTGGGGGCGGAGAGCGCAGGCGGAGGGCTTTTGCTGTGCCGTGGCCACCGACGACGGCAGAGGAGGGGGACGGAGCCCGACGGAGCCGGACGGATCCGGACGGAGAGGGGAGAGGGATGGAGGGGGCGCGGGAAGGAGGGGGTGGGGCGAGGGCAGAGGGGTTAAAACAGGGCTAGGATCGGGATAAATCGCTCCAGAGCGTTCCAGAGCGCTCTCAGAGCGTTCCGGAACGCTCTGGAGCGGCCGCGGCGCACAATACGTCCTCCAAACCCGCCGATTCTCATAGATTTCGAGTTATCCCGATCCGATTTTGTCCCGATCTTCGCGTCGTTTTACGAGGGAAGAGGGGTGACATGGACGGCCAGGGGGAGCGAGGGAGGGATGGCGGTGGGAGGGGGGTTTGGGGGGGAGGTTGGAGCTCGAGTTTTTACGGCAACGTCGTTGACGAAGGCACGAGAGTTGTGGTAGGGAGATTGCCTCGGAGAGGCAGGGAACGGAACCAGATAGGGAGGAAGGAGTATGGAAGGAACAGAGAAGGGGGAGGGGCTTGGGGGGAGCGGAGGGAGTCAAGGAGGGGGGAAGGCACCAGAAGGGGGGAAGGAACGGAATGATGAGGGAAAGGACCCGCGGAGTTTTCCCTGGACCGTTTGTATGCCTTCTCTTGCACGCGGCCCCCTCTCTTTCCTTCCAGCACGGTGTGAGACTGTGTCGTGGAGGGCAGGGGAGCTGGCCGCGATTAGGGCCCAGCACCACGAGAGGTTCCGGGAGCGCGAGGACTCCTTGCGTGCATGCTGGTCTCTCTCGCCTTTGCCCCCCTCTTTCATCCTCCACATCTTCTCCCTGCTGCTCTCCCTCTTCCCACTACTCCATCCCCCTCGCGTCCCGCTCTCTTGCCTCCACACCCCGAGCCCCGCCCCACTATCCCCTCCCCTCCTCCCTTTCCCATCCATCTCTGAGTTCATGTTGACGACCCACACAACTCGTTGTTTGCATGCTCGTAGCGTCCAAAAATGAATTTGTGGCTGGCCACGTGGTATCGATCCTCCGTCGCTCAAGTTTCGATTCAAGTCTGGGTCCCAGAGGGGCAGCCTTTTTTTCTCCAGCCCCGCTCTTGTTGCTGGCAAATGCCACGTGGAATAGCTATCGCGACATTCCGTCTTGACGTGTGGTAGGCCTTAGTTTTTTCCTCTGGCGGTGCGTCCTGCTCTCTTTCAGTGCAGTACCCTTGGCGCGTCCCCTGACGGGTCCCTTGGCACGCCCCCTGGCACGCCGCGAGGTGCATTTCTTGGCTCGTCCCTTGGCGCGTCCCCTGGCACGTCCCTTGGCGTGCCCCCCTTGAGCGTTCCCTCGGAATTCTTGTATTCCCCAGGTAGTGTCAATCTTGTTTTCTGTGTCAGAGAGAGGGGATCTGCTCATAGCCGCTAGACAACGATCAGAGGATCTGTAGGCCACGTGATGCAAGGCGAGGGGGCGGATGAAGAGGAGGGCCACAGAGACGCTGACGACGAAGGTGATGAAGCAGCGCGCAGGCACGACCGATCAGCATTCCTCTCCGGGCCTGTGGGCGCTCATATGTGCAACGAGTGGTTGCTTCGGGAGCGCGGACACAGCCCCTCCTCCTCCTCCTCCTTCTCCTCCTCCTCCTCCTCCTCCTCCTCCTCCTCCTCCTCCTCCCCCTCCTCCTCGGATGTTGGGTTCTTGTGCCGCGGATGGTGCCCTCCATGGTTCCATAGTTTTGCGCAATGGGTCCTATTCTCGGGATATAGTTTAAGCTCGGATGTGTGTTGCCTTCGGAGCGCGGGCCCACTGTTTCCCCTCACCACAGCTCGTGGCCTGGGCGGCGCGAGTCAAGAGTCTCTGTTATCTCCCAGCGCGCGTATACATACTCCAGATTTCGTAATAGAGGGAGGGGGGTCTCATTTCGGGGGGTCTCTTCCAGGCTATCTTGGAGGGCCTGGGGGGGTCTGGGGACGATGTTCTGGAGGGTTCTCCCACGGGGGGGGGTCTAAAATGGCTTGTCTTGGAGGGCCCAGACCCCCTCCCTTTTATTACGAACTCTGGAGTATATATATATATATATATAAGAATATATATTATATGTGTATGTATGTACGCATGCATGTATGTATATGTATATGTATATATATATATATATATATATATATATATATATGCAGGGAACGTGGTCCGGTGCGGACACACCGGGTCGGACTGAGGGGGATCGCGCGCTTCCTGGGGCATTTTGAATATCGCCTTCTGAGAAATTGAGCAGTTATTCGTAGCCATTTTGTCTCAAGCCGTTGTCGTTGGCTCAAGATCCATCGTCGTCGGGCTCGAGGCCAAGCGGGGTGAGGCAGCCCTCACCTCAGGCCACTGCCAGTGGCCAACGGGAGGGATTGTGACAGGCGCGAGAAACGCAGCTGTATTCCTTCAAGCATCTGTTACGCGCACTGCCACCCACGATGTTTGCGAGTCATGACGCGGCATGGCGCTGCTCGTATGGCATGGTGGGCAACTACCGTGGAGGAAGAAATGCTGGGGCTGTGGCATGGTGGCGCCGCGGTCAGCGAGCACAGGCATGGCTACGACGGAATGGCAGATCGCAGGAGCGCCACTTATGAAAAGCAATTGGTAGAGTGCTGGAAATGTAGCCGCAGTTCGCGGCAGTGGAGTGCGAGTAGGCAGGACTGGCGACATATCAAGCCCGACACAACCGTCCAAAAGGCAGACATGTTTAGATCGTTGGAGAAGTGCACGGACCCAGTGGAGAAGGCAAACAGTGAGACCAAAGAGAAGGAGCAAAAAGACGAGGCATCAAACTCAACACAGTCGGTGGAGATGCATCTCAGGAGTGGCGATCGGGAGAGTCAAGACGAAGAGGTCCAATCCAGAATCCGAATCCAGAATCCAGAATCCAGAATTCCGGATTCCGGATTCCGGATTCCGGATTGGACCGCGGAATCCAGAATACAGAATTCCGGATTCTGGATTCCAGATTCCGGATTCCGGATTCCAGAGTGGACATTTGAATCCAGATATCCAGAACCCATGATTCCGGATTTCGGAGTGGATTTCGGAATCCAGATTCCAGAATTCTGGATTCCGGATTCCGGGTTCCGGATTGGACTTCGGAGACCAGAATCCAGAATTCCGGATTTTGGATTCCGGATTCCGGATTGGGCCTCTCAGTCCAGAGCCCAGAATCCAGAATCCATGGATTCCAGATTCCGGATTCCAGCTCGGACCTCGGAATCCAGAATCAAGATTTCTTGATTCCGGATTCCGGATTTCATTTCGGATTCTTAATCCAGAATCTTGGATTCCGGGTTCGGATGCCAGATTTGATTTTGCAGTTCCGGATTCCGGGTTCGTATTTTCCGGATTCCGGGTTCTGTATTCCGGATTCAGGATTGGACCTTGCCATGCAGAATCCAGAAGTCACAACTTTTCAAGCTTCGCGTATCCCCAACAAGCGCGGCCTCGTCGTGGCGCGGATGGCAGTCATGGGACATTTGGGAGCACCAAGGTGCTTCATGGACCGACACAGACTGGAAGGCGAAGAGCAAGCGCTATTCTTCAAGAGGAGATCACCCGTACGCCGATAAGCGCCCACGAGGTTGGGACTCCTGATCCAGAGGATAGGGACGCAGCGTGGGACCCGTGCAAGAACGGCCCACCCTCCCCAGCCAGCGCAGGAGCACCCACCGCCGTGGTCGGCTCCCGCGATTTGGGAGTGCCTGCAGCCTAGGCACTGAGCAGCTCCCGAAGGACGCTGCAACGCCTCCCTCGAAGGCACTCTGCGAACCGGTGGTCGCTATGGCCAACCACCCATCTTGCTGTCTGGTAGGTGCAGCACCAACTCCCGCCTACCTCCTGCTTCAGTTCGAAAGGCACTCGCTGCCCCCCCCCCCCCCCAGCCAGTTGCACCTGCAGCGCCAGGCCACGGATGGCTGAAATAGCCCATCTCCTGCGCTCCACTTCTACAGTGTATACGTCGGCGGACAGTGGACAACTCATTGCTCCGCCCAGTTAGTCGCGGGCTCATACTTGCAGCTCATCTGAGGCTCGAGTCAACCATTGGTGCCCTGACCTTGTCAGTACTCATGGTTGCGACGCGGGCTGTCATGGACCGTGAGGCTTGCTTCCTGGACAACGACGATCTGGGTCAGCTGGGCACTGCCTCCACCTTCCTTTACAAGGCGGTGTCCTTTGCGCTTACCTTGTGGGCCGTCTGGGACCCGGCCGCGCCCGGAGGAACTCGCTGGGTTGGCAGCCCCATGGTCCTCAACCGGCCGTTCGCCTCGAGCAGCCCTGTTGGGCTCGTGGGCTGGGGCCACTGTGGAAATGGCCACAACCCCCCATGGTCTCGAAGCTCTCTACATGGATGCTCTGTGCATTGATATCCGTGATCTGCGGCTTTCGGCTGCGCCCCCACTTCTCTTCTCAGTGTACGACTGCGGTTGGTGGACGACATCACTCGCCGCGCCGCCCGTGCTCAGCCCCACCCCTATGTGGTCACGAAGCTCTGTACATGGTCGCTTTGTGTATTGTTGTCCGTGATATGCGGATTTCGGCTGCGCCCCCACTTCTCTTCATCTAGTTGCCGCGTCTCTGCGGCTTTCGGGTGCGCCCCCCACCCGCTGGCAGCGTTGGCATCAGACGCCGAGGCCAGACAGTGGTTCCTCAGAGGTCGCCCGGGCACGTCGGCGAGCAGCCTGCGACCGGCACAGCCCAGCAGATCGGCAGCCTCCTCCTCCCTCTCCTCCTCCTCCTCTTCCTCCATTCACAATGACTTTGCGGTTTTCGGCGGCGCCCCCTACCATTTGCTTCGGTCTGTGGTGGGCGCCCGCCCTGGAACCTGCCCAGGGTGTTTCTGTCCCCGCCGCCGACCCAACCACCTTTCTATTTCAAGGAAGCAGTGGTTTGACAGCACGCTGCCAGCGACCAGTGCAACCTGCAGCTCGACAGCTGACAGCCACCTGTATGCCTTGGCAGCGGTGACATCTGGCTGCTGCGCAGGCGGCGAGGAAGTGGGGAGTGGCTGTGGCTGTCCTCCATACACATGGTGAGTGGCTTCGTCATGTCAGCGGCTCCGCATCGAGTGGTTCAGCCTTCTGCGGTCCAAGTTCGTGTCGCACTTCCCAGCGCAGCCATAAAGCAGCCCCAGCCTCCAGCCCTCGTCTGTACTCGCATCGTTGTGCCCACGTACTGCGTGTATCGGGTACGATGTGCATACACGGGCTACCGGCTGGAGGTGGTTCAGCCTGATGAACGCAGACCAGTGGGTTTCTCGACCAGTTGGCGCTCGGATCAGCCACACCTTTGGAAGAGTGCGACCCTGCAGTGAGTGGTTCAGCCTTTGCAGCCCGTGGCCGCCTCTTCAGCGCAGCACTGGCCACCAGCCCGCGTCGGTACCTTGGCATCGTTGCGCCCCCGCCAGCATGGGCCGGAGACAATGCGCACGCATTGGCTACCGGCAGGAAGCGTGGGTCGGGCGCTGCCGTCAGCCATACACTCGGTGACACACGGTGTCTGGCCTCGTACTGGGAGTGGCCCTGCTCTGAGTGGTTCAGCCTTCTGCAGTTTGTGGGCGCTCCCCCCGCAGAGCAGTCTGCACAGCCCCCGCTAGTTCTGTACATCGTTTTGCCCCCGAACTGCGAGAGTCGGTTACGGTGTGCAAGCACTGGCTTCGGCAGATGGCTCAGCCTTGTGGACGCGCCCCAGCCCTCGTCAGACATTGCATCGTTGCACCCTCGAACTGCGTGAGTCGGAGA